TTGTTTAATCAGATAGATCCTGGTTCGATTCATTAGATGAACTCAAATGGATCACCAAAGGATATATGAAAAGATGCTGCCTTGCTCCCCAAGATACCATCTTATTAGGTCTGCCATAAAGAACTGTCTTTATGGTCTGATTCTGACTCGTTTTGCTGTGTTGCTAATTATCTGCACTCCACTTTTGAAAAAGACTTTTAAGCTTATTTAGTGTAACTGTGTGTTCATCAGAAATTTAAAATCTCTTTTTTCTTTTAATTTAAAAACCTTACAAATTTCATGTGGTTTTTTTTGTTCTTGTAATCTAGGGGGAAAAAACTGATATAGACATTTGAAATCTCGCTACAATTTACGATGCCACTATAATTGCTTTAGCCAGAGATTGGTCATAAGTAACAACTAGTTTGGTCCCAACACGAATGACGTAACTTCAAGCGCATAGTATTCTATCTTTGAATTATTTTAGTCTAATTTGTACCCAAGAACATAAAAATTACATTTCGTAACAAAAAAATGCATGGAAACTACATGTGAAGAAAACTTGAACAACACACTTAATTATGTCCAGAAAATAATATGAAATATCTTCTATAAGACTATGAAATGCACTTATGTCACATAAACATGAAAATACGCTCAACTAAGAGCCATAAATTAGAGAGCAATAAAAGACTTCCAGCTCATCACTGTAAATGTAAAGACAGTACATAAGCAAGAGAGATAGCCTCAACACAAACAGAGACCATGAACCAAACCAAATCGAGAAAAGATAAAAAGCTTCTTTAATAAAATAAAATAAAAATCATTTGAAGTCTCAATGGGATCGATCGTGAAGCTGGTTTTAGGAGATAACTTTACGAAAATTGAATCAAACATCGCAGGTGTGTTCTTCTTCTTGAAAACTTTCAAGAGATACTTTCCTCAACAGCTCAAGATCACGATCCAGCAGCTGTTCTTCAATGCAATCCAACAGTTACCCTTTTTCAAGAAATATTCAGACAAGATCCTTGGCTTGTTCTCTCCTTACACTCAGATCAGGTTCAGAGAAATCGAAGAGTATAGATACAACTATGCATACGCAGCCATCAAGACCTACCTTGGTGCAAAAGTTAACTCTGAAGTGAAGAATCTCAAGGGGAGCCAATTGAAGCAGAACAAGTCTCTGGATTTGAAACGTGAGGAGGAGTATGAAGGTGTGAAGATGTGGTGGGAGTTGCTAAATTGCGCCAAAGGGAAGAAGATGTGTAGGCTTACTTTCCATAGAAGTGATTGGGAGGTTGTGACTGGGTCCTATTTGAGCTATGTTGTGGAAGAAGGGAAACCGGTCGAGGCAAGGAAGAAGAAGGTTAAGCTGTTTATAAATAATCCAAGTTGGAATTGGAAGTCTAAGACGAAAAATTTATGGAGTAGCATCGACTTTGAGCATCCCGCAACGTTTGAGACTGTGGCGATGGATCGTGAGAAGAAAGATGAGATTGTGTATGATCTTTTGGCGTTTAGAGATGGGAAAGAATATTATGACAAAATTGGGAAAGCTTGGAAGAGGGGCTACTTGTTGTACGGACCTCCCGGGACAGGTAAGTCAACTATGATCGCGGCTATGGCGAATCTTATGAATTATAGTATCTATGATCTTGAGCTAACTTCAATAGAGAACAATTGGGAGTTGAAGAAGCTGTTGATAGCGACGACGAGTAAGTCGATCATTGTGATTGAGGATATAGATTGTTCCTTGGACCTCACGGGTGAGAGGAAAGGTAAAGAGGAAAGCAAGAAAAGCGATAGAGAAGGGAAGAAGAGTGCGGTGACACTCTCTGGCTTATTGAACTTTATAGATGGGATTTGGTCGGCTTGTGGACAAGAGAGGATCCTTGTGTTTACGACAAATCACTTGGGAAAACTTGACCAAGCTCTGATCAGAAGAGGTCGGATGGATATGCCTATAGAACTGTCTTATTGCACATTCGATGCGTTCAAGATTCTTGCTAAGAACTATCTGAATCTTGATTCGCATCTCTTGTTTCGAAAGATCGCGTCTTTGCTGGAAGAGACGAAGGTAACACCGGCTGATGTTGCGGAGAATTTGATGGTGAAAGATCGTCAAACCGAAGTTGATGGATCACTCAAGGGATTGATTCGAACATTGGAGAAGATGAAATGGAGCCAAAAGACTAAGGCCGATGAACAACAGAAGGAGGACTAACCAAATTTAAGTACTTGACCAGTGAGATTATCTAGTAATTTTAGTTTGATGTTACTTCATTAGCTGCTTTGATATGAATGTTTATCATGTTTAAGTCATCAATTCTAGTTTGTTAGATCGAACTTATGGAATTTAATAGCTGCCTTAATATATAATGTTTTATAATGGTGTTTTAGTTCACTACTGGCTCTCTAAGAACATAACTTGGGAAATAAATATGATTTTTGACGTGGGAAGAAAAGTAATTTCTCTAGTGAATTCTCTAATTTCCATATTTAAATGTCTCTATTTCGGTACCTTAATGCCATGTGTTTGTTGCATAAATCCATTTTGTGTTTAATACGGATTATCTTTGAGATTGGTCAAGAAGACAAAAGGTTTTAGCAACGCAATTAGGAACTTTTGAATAGGACATAGAAAACTAATCTAGTTCATTACTTAAAACGTTTGAGAAAATAATATTTTGATTTTGAGGGATTTGAGTGGCACAAAATGGTAGAAAGCGTTTCTCATAATTTTGCATATTATAATGGGAGAACAACACCTAAAATGTTTTGTGTATTATAGTAAAAAAATTTAAATTACGGTTCTAAAAATATTAATTTTGATGTGTCGGCGTATGACTATAAGTTTGGCACGCCAGTCTACAATCTATTACCTAAATAAAAATATATATTCAAATTTAAAAATACATGGTAAAATGTAGATGCTATTAATTCTAAAACTGAAAAGAGAGTTAATATTTCTTAAAATTAAACATGAAACAATTGTATAAGCTATGAAAAGGTTAAAAAAAAAAAAAACAATTGTATAAGCATGAACATGTTGGTGTCACTAACACTCTAGACAAACAAGACCGGTCTTGAGCCCAAGCCGAGCAAGGGCTTGCGGTGTTTAGTTTACATACTTTCTCGACTCTCTATTGAGAGAGGTCGAGAGTTCGACACTTCTGCAATCATCTCGGTATATAGTTTTAGTTTTTTCAAAATATGAAGAAAAAGTGGCCCAATTTTGTGTGTGCTTGTGAACTTTAAATTGTCAAGACCGGTTCGATTTTATAAACTGGACCGTCGAAACAAATACGTTTTCTTTTTCGTTCAGTGGACCTAAGTACGAAACTACGTACGAACCACTCCTCAGTCTTCAATTGTCTCAATCAGGGACTGCATTGTTTGGACGTATGTTATCAATAATAGTCTTCGTACGATAAAAAGAAAAGTCGTCCGCCTAGAAATTTATTATGAGTTATATCTTTTAAAAAAAAACTTATTATGAGTTATATGATGTCTAAATATTTCCAAGGCTTTTTTTTATCGTCTGGAGTGATTTTACCAAGGTTTTTGTTGTTTGTTTTCTCTTGTCATGAATCATAATGTTTGATTCCTTAATTTATTTTTTGATAGCAACTCTTCATTTATAATATTTTAGATTTAATATTTAACCATATGATATATTTTCTGAAAATGATTATTCAATTGTCATCTAAGCGTTGCCAAATTCGATGAACCAACTGCTGCCGAATTCAATTTCGAGTCGGCGATATACTTGAGAAAATAACTTATTATACTCTCTAATTCTAACCTTGCTCTTTAGGAAAGTTGGATAATAAGATGCTTTTAGTCCACCACTACATGTTACTGTATAGTTTTTATCAAATAAAACAACGCAGTACACTTCAGATTCTTTTCGGACTCTACTGGTAAACTAGTGGGGTTGTTGTTTGTTTATGGTGGAAAAACTCACTTCACTTTTTCTAACTCCTGCAGTTTCCATCTCTTTTCGTTTTTTGTAATCTTATGTAACCATATAAAATATCGTCACGAGTTTTTTAGCTAAGAATTTTTTAAATTTTTGCTAAGAGGTCACGAGTTAGGTTCCAAGTGACCTCACATGTGCATACGCAGTCATAAAAATTAATAACATTATGCTGATAGAGACTTCTCCAG